TTAATAACATTTATACCATGACTGCTATGAAAAAAGCGACTTAAATACACCTCGTGATAATAATGCACATCCTTTACATCTTGCACGCCACACTCAAGCACCAGTTTAGTAATACAGAGACCTCGCACACCTTTCCCACACAGCAGGCGCAGACTGAAGTGGTGATTAAAAGTGGGTACGCAGTGTTGTAGCGAATGAGACAATAGCCCTGTGACCAACGCTGCACAGGCAGTTCAGTGGGATTGTAGTATTTTATAATTCCAAAGTAATGGCATCAAATGTATTATATTATGTTGCAGGCGCTCAGCTCTCCAACGCAGACATTATCTCCCTGATACACCCAGCACCGTGCGTATAAATTCCACCATAATATTCCACAAATCATCTCCTGCAAGTGTTAACCACAAAAAACGAGAGGCACTTGTAGGAGCACAGTGCACATGGACCATGCAGACCGAGCAGCCTCGCTACCCACCGAGTGGTAGTTGTTTTCGTCGTCCCGGCAGCCGCAGGCTTCCAGCGACACGCAGAGATCGTCGCTGAGCACGAAGCCCTGGTCGCAGACGCAGCCCTCGGCGCACCGAGCCGCGCTCTGGCAGCTGGCCTCGGCGTAGATGTCCGAGCAGGTGGCCGGGCAGGGCGAGGCGCACGGCGTGTAGTGGGTGTTCAGCAGGCATGGCAGTGCTAATGAAGAGACACGTACGGATTTTATCATACGGGGTGTTTTGGTTATTCTAGATTTAAAGCTTTCGTGACTGCAAGGATCCATACTCTTTGGTTCTATTGGGTAAAGTCACGTAGGTAAAAAATAAAATAACAAAAATCACGACGTTTCGGCCACAACACAAGCGGCCTTCATCAGGTGAAGGGACGAGACTGTCTGGAGGACAGCGCTGGAGTGAAAAAAGCCATGCTCAGATCACGACCTTTAAGCTGTGTGAGAAGAAACAAAGCGCCTTGACAAAGGAATTAGCATATAATTTAGCATTGAAATGGCTGAGTGATTAGCTTGTGACTGGTCACAGAAATGGCTATGTTAAAGTTAAAGCATACACATCCGCAAAGGCACCCCTTGAAAAAGGAATTAGCATAGAATTTAGCATTGAAATAGCTAAGTTAAAGTATACACATCCGCAGAGGCACCCCTTGACAAAGGAATTAGCATAGAATTTAGCATTGAAATAGCTGAGTGATTAGCTTGTAACTGGTCACAGAAATAGCTATGTTAAAGTCAGAGCATATACATTCACCGAGGCACCTAGTACAAATCAAACAGGAGAATTTAGCAAAACACAACCACGCTCAGACCGCGGACCTTTAAGCTGTGTACGAGCAAACAAGGTGTCCTGACAAAGAAATTAGCAAAAAAATTTGAATTTGATTGGCCGATTTTAGAAAAGAGGTGGTGTACGTGCCGGTGGACTTGCCGTTTGGCGCGGGGGGGGGGGGAGTTTACCTATTGATGGTGTGAAAAGGGAATTTAAAAGAGCTGCGAAAGTTTGGGGAACCACTACTTGAAAAATATACTGTACCATTGAAATTAGTTTAATGTTTATTTCGATTTAGAACATCTTTCCAATGGTTGCTTAATTTGAAACCATCTTCTCGGTTGAAATTGTGTCTGTGTTTGTAGATCTGAATTGCCTCGTGAACAAATCTCTGATAAAAACCCGTGGGTTTGCAAAGAACCTTGGTATCGGAGAAAATTATATCGTGATCACCCACAGCGTTGTAACAGTGATCAGCCACGGCAGAAGAATTCGTTTTGCCGTGTTTCAAATCTGATTTGTGCTCGCGAATTCGGTCAGAGACATGTCGCTTTGTCTCCCCGATATAGCAATCACCGCAGGTACAACTCAATTTGTAAACCCCGGAGTACTGTAAGTCAGGAATGACATCCTTCACGGATGGGATCAGATCACGAATTTTGTGTACTGTATTGAACCGGACCTGGATCTTGTGTTTGTTTAGAATTTTGGAAATCTTTTTTAGTAACGCCTGCTATATATGGTAGTGTGATGGTTTTGACCGGAGTATCAAGTGGTTGTTTCTGTATGGAGGGAGAAACAGCTTGGCGGATGGTACGGTCAGAGTAACCATTCCTTTTGAGGGCCAGGTGTACATGTTTTAATTCACTGGTCAGGTGGTGTTGGTCCGAAATTCAATGAGCCCTACGGTATAAAGTTTTGATGAGAGAATTCTTTTGGGCTGGGTGGTGGTGGGAATCAGGTTTCAAGTAGGAATCTGTGTGGGTGGGTTTCCTGTAGACAGAATGCCCCAATGAGCCATCAGGTCTCCTCTCAAACAGAACATCTAAGAATGGTAGCTTGCCATCTTTCTCCACTTCCATGGTGAATTTGATGGCGGGATGTCTGGAATTGATGTGGTGTAGGAAAAGGTTCAGAGCTGGGAGGCCATTTGGCCAAATGACGAAAGTGGCATCCACATATCTCTTCCACAGGGAAGGTCTGAGGGTGGAAGTCTGGATTTTCTGTCAGATACCTTGCTGCCTTTCACTGGCAAGACTGCCTCAGCAGTACTTAACTCAGCCCAATTGGTCTCTATGGTCAAAGACGTTGTACTGTCCCCTGACGATATCCTTGTCAGCTTCGATGTGGTATCTTTGTTCACCAAGGTCCCAGTACCTGATACCATTGAAATAATTGAAAATTTGGTCCAACATGGACTAGACCCCGAAACACCTGCACTGGTTAGGCACTGCCTTAACAATACCTACTTTACTTGGAATGGCTCCTTCTAAAACAAAATGAGGGTACCCCCATGGGATCCCCCTTGTCACCAATGATAGCCAATATTTTCACGGAGAAATTTGAATCAGACGCCATCCAGACTTCCACCCTCAGACCTTCCCTGTGGAAGAGATATGTGGATGATACTTTCGTCATTTGGCGACATGGCCTCCCAGCTCTGAACCTTTTCCTACACCACATCAATTCCAGACATCCCGCCATCAAATTCACCATGGAAGTGGAGAAAGATGGCAAGCTACCATTCTTAGATGTTCTGTTTGAGAGGAGACCTGATGGCTCATTGGGGCATTCTGTCTACAGGAAACCCACCCACACAGATTCCTACTTGAAACCTGATTCCCACCACCACCCAGCCCAAAAGAATTATCTCATCAAAACTTTATACCGTAGGGCTCATTGAATTTCGGACCAACACCACCTGACCAGTGAATTAAAACATGTACACCTGGCCCTCAAAAGGAATGGTTACTCTGACCGCACCATCCGCCAAGCTGTTTCTCCCTCCATACAGAAACAACCACTTGATACTCCGATCAAAACCATCACACTACCATATATAGCAGGCGTTACTAAAAAGATTTCCAAAATTCTAAACAAACACAAGATCCAGGTCCGGTTCAATACAGTACACAAAATTCGTGATCTGATCCCATCCGTGAAGGATGTCATTCCTGACTTACAGTACCCCGGGGTTTACAAATTGAGTTGTACCTGCGGTGATTGCTATATCGGGGAGACAAAGCGACATGTCTCTGACCGAATTCGCGAGCACAAATCAGATTTGAAACACGGCAAAACGAATTCTTCTGCCGTGGCTGATCACTGTTACAATGCTGTGGGTGATCACGAAATAATTTTCTCCAATATCAAGGTTCTTTGCAAACCCACGGGTTTTTATCAGAGATTTGTTCACGAGGCAATTCAGATCTACAAACACAGACACAATTTCAACCGAGAAGATGGTTTCAAATTAAGCAACCATTGGAAAGATCTTCTAAATCGAACTAAACATTAAACTAATTTCAATGGTACAGTATATTTTTCAAGTAGTGGTACCCCAAACATTCGCAGCTCTTATAAATTCGCCTTTTCACACCATCAATAGGTAAACTCCCCACCCCCCCCCGCGCCAAACAGCAAGTCCACCGGCGCGTATACCACCTCTTTTCTAAAATCGGCCAATCAAATGCTAATTTTTATGCTAATTTCTTTGTCAGGACACCTTGTTTGCTCGCACACAGCTTAAAGGTCCGCGGTCTGAGCGTGGTTGTGTTTCGCTAAATTCTCCTGTTTGATTTGTACTAGGTGCCTCGGTGAATGTATATGCTCTGACTTTAACATAGATATTTTTGTGACCAGTTACAAGCTAATCACTCAGCTATTTCAATGCTAAATTCTATGCTAATTCCTTTGTCAAGGGGTGCCTCTGCGGATGTGTATACTTTAACTTAGCTATTTCAATGCTAAATTCTATGCTAATTCCTTTGTCAAGGGGTGCCTTTGCGGATGTGTATGCTTTAACTTTAACATAGCCATTTCTGTGACCAGTCACAAGCTAATCACTCAGCCATTTCAATGCTAAATTATATGCTAATTCCTTTGTCAAGGCGCTTTGTTTCTTCTCACACAGCTTAAAGGTCGTGATCTGAGCGTGGCTTTTTTTACTCCAGCGCTATCCTCCAGACAGTCTCGTCCCTTCACCTGATGAAGGCCGCTTGTGTTGTGGGCGAAACGTCATAATTTTTGTTATTTTCTTTTTTACCTATGTGACTTTACCCAATAGAATCAAAGAGTATGTCATGGTTATGTTCACTGTGGCATTGGCATTGTATGTCGTATGGAAATTTGAAAGAGTCCCAGGTTCTTCAACATCTCAGTAATTCAAATGCTTCTGTTATGTGCTGTTTATATTCTTGCATATGGCAGCAATATGTTCACAAGCTTAATGCAAATGTCGATGTCTGCTAGACTCTATGACAGGGCTTCAGGAGAGAGTTTGTGTAGTCTTGCTGTTCCTCCATTGAATGAGTGCAGACTACAGTGGTTTTCTAAATGGTCCATAATCCACATCTACACCATATGTGCTTTTTAGATTTAGTTAATAAGTTTTGATTTAGATACACAAGCATATAAGGAATGTTGCTTATATTTCAACCGTGGAGGTAAAGCTGATGCGGTCTAAAATATTTTTTTCTCACAATGGATATCTGTAAATATATAAAAAAATCCTCATGCAGAAAACTCACGGCAGAAGGTTTCATTGCGCCACAGGATGTTGATGCCCTTTGCGCGGCAGGCCTCCGCGTAGGCCTGGAAGTTATCGCACAGCGTGCTCTCCATCCCGTGGAACTGACACATGTCGTAGATGCACGTCTTCAGGAAAGCCTCGGGATCTATCTCGGCATGGCACTTGGCAAAGGCTCCTGAGGTAGAGATAACGACTTCACACATCTTTTTATATGCCTCTTCATTGATTGGGTCACAGCTGGGAATGTGCGGCTCGTCTGGTTTGCAGCTGTGAAAAAATATATCACACGCATGGTTGTTTTGTTAAAGATATAAACACATGCGTGATTTAGACAAAAATAATGTGATAGACTAATGCCACATTGATGTACATTTATAGGAGTTGCTGGAAACTACTCCACTACATGAAATATTGATAAATATTTCAGGTACCTGTTTTCATTGTAAATGAAAGAGTACATTAAGCAATGGTGTGGAGCGGTGGTCCAGTGGTTAGCACACCACATTATAAAACCACACGACCCAAGTTTGATTCTCGGCCATGGATACGTCAGTGGCAAATGACACCTGAACTAGTCTGGAGCCCCCCACACTTCACCAACCCACAATGTAGAGCTTGGATTGACAAGGTGTTATATACATCACTGTAATGTGCTATTACCACATGGAACATGTTAATGCTGCGTGGCTTGTACGATACCAAACAGTGCACATTGGCTGCCTCACCCAGCATCATCGTCTCCCTCGGCCTTCCAGCTGTCCCCGAGCTGGGCGGCGCTGGTGGCAAGCTTCCCGTTGGGCATCAGGTAGTCGTCTGTGCCGTTCTGGTTGTAATTGCCGCATAGGCCGCACAGCTGTTGCATGGTCAAACAAAAACCAATGTACGCTTTTTTACATGATCAAGACGTGTCATGGGTTAATGGGTGTATAAAGAAGATATGTACTTTAGAATCATTATTTAATCCTGGTAATTATTGACTGCAATGATAACCAGTGCATTTAAATATATAAAATGTTTCTGAGATAACCTGGACCATGTGCATTTATATTGCAAAATGGGGTTAATGATGCATTGTGGGTCCCTTTGTGCAGTTATCGTTCGTGCGTAAGTATTCCTCTTAGCATCCAAGAATTGATCACATTAAAGTAATTAATAAAACTTCCAATAGTTACTTTTCTGGTTTTAACGTTCAACCAATCTCATCCCTTAGAAGGTTTAGCATTTCTCCCCTGTATTGCAATGAATGTGTAATGAGTCTACCAGACGAAGATAAAGGTGACACATGCTTCTTTATTTTAGGCGTGAGCTCATGCCACGCACGTCCACTCCACTCCGAATCCCTCCAGGAAGGACCCCGATCGTCCCGCCTCATCAGGTGATGTCACCACTCTCTCCCTAAGCGTCCCCTCTCTCTCGCCTCACCTTCTCATTCCTTTCCTTCCCTTCATGATGTCATCTTAACTGTAACCTGGGATCCCGTTCGTAGCACTACATCACCCCCTCCCCCTTGAAGAAAAAGTAGTTTGCGACTCAACACAACCCGTGCGAATCCAAGGGATTCAGGGTAATTCCGATGGTAGGGGAGTAGGGAGAGATGAAGGGGGGGGGGGGGAGAAATAAACTTTTGTCGGTCAATAAACAAGAAATGTAGAATTTAACCGGAGTCCTGCCACTTTGTGTGGTGTGTACAGAATTAAAGACAGTAATAAACCGAGGAACCAATAGATGAGGCGGTACACAGAAAGTTCAACCGGAACTTCCAACTGTAACAAGCGAACAACCGATGACAGTCTCCAGCGCGAAGGAACAACAATGTAATTTTCCTCCACAGTTCCATGGTCTTGCATGCAGTGGTTGTTCATCACCGTGAGATAATCGCCCGAGCCCGTGCCCGAGTAACCGGGCTGCGTAGCCATGGCTCGGTCATATGCTGCCGCACCTTCTTGGTCACAGGCAGTCCTGGGGAAGGAAGGCAACCTTCTTGAGGTTGGTTCGTCCCGGCAAGTAGCTTCCCCGGCCTCGGCAGTGATGATAGAGGTGAGTGAAGGGGTGAACGTGTATGTGTTCGTGGTAACCCGGTTTTTGGTGAGTCTAGTGAGTGCTCCTCCGAGTCTTGTTGAGTATCCATGGTAGGCTTCGACCGGTCAAGCTTTAGACGGGCGGGATATACATGCCATCACTGACGTCCCAATTGGTCACGTACACATTGAGGCCTAAGTATCTCTACCACTTTCACAGGGCCCTGCCATAGATGGTGCAGTTTGGGTGAGGTCCCTAAGGGTACCTGTGGGTAGTGTAGCCAAGCACTATCTCCTACTTCTAAAAGCTGGGGCGTCACTCCCCTTTGCCTAGCCCTTTCATTCACAGAGTGGGAAAAAGCTGCGACAGTTTGTGCTGCTTCCCTTGCCATCTCCCACTGCTGCATGACCTGTCGTACCGCTAAAGGCCATTTCGCAGCCCCAGCTAGAAGTTCAAAAGCTGGCACTCAATGGGAGGGTCCGGCTCCCGACCATACATCAAATAGAATGGAGAGTATCCTGTTGACGCATTGCAGGGCCAACCGATGTCGCCAGGACCCCACCTATGTTTAAGTTCCAGTCTGTCTGAGTGTCATTGACCACCTGACACAGCATGGATGTGATGGTGCGATTTGGGCATTCTACCATCCCATCAGTTTGCAGGTGGTATGGGGAAATGCGTACTTTCTTAATGCCTAGGATGTCGCACACTTCCTTTATCAGTTTTGATTATTTATTTTTTAACCTGGTCTGTTAGAAGATTTTTAGGGGCCCCTTTATCCATAACATGTCCATGAACAAAAGCTTCTGCTATTGACTGACCAGTTTGATCCGCTAGGGGCCATGCCACCGGCCATCGCATTAAATACTCGACCCCTACTAGTCGATATTTGTGACCTCTGTCAGTGTGAGGTAGGGGTCCCAATATATCCAAGGCCACCAATTCATTAACCCACGAAGCCTTGATTGATTGTAGGGGCACTTTGATCGGGTATGCTGGCGTCTGTCGCCGCTTACATTCTACACATGAGGTTGTCCATGCACAGATATGTCATCATGCTCGGCCAAAAATAATTAGTCTTAACGGTAGAGAGTGTTTTCAGCTCCCCCAAATGCAGGAGGTCAGCACTACGACACATTAGAACTGTGTGTTGATCACCCAATGCATCAACAGCCCTTCATAATCTACGAATATCGAATCTCGATTGGCCAGGGAAGGCTCTGGCTTGTCTTTCCGAATGTGCACAGGTGTTGTGAGGCACTCCATGTCAGTAGAGAGTGGTTTACACCTGGGTGACCCCTTAGCACATTCACAAGTACCTGCCTCTGGCAGACGCAATAAAGCATCCACATTTGTGTGGTGCAACCCCTTCCTATGGACCATCTCATAGGACAATTTTTGCAGTCTTCCAATCCATCTGGTCATCTGACCAAAGGGTTGGTTGATACACAACGAGTATTGCAGTGCTGCATGGTCAGTCCGCACCTCAAATTTCCATCCGCATAGGTATGGGCAAAATTTTTGCACAAAATGCACAATGACCAGGAGTTCCCTCCTCGTTACGCAGTAGTGATGTTTGGTCAATGACAATACCTGGCTGCCATATGCTATCACTACCTCTCTGCTCGATTGCACCTGAGATAGGATAGCCCCAATGCCCACATCGCTTGCATCCATATATAGCGTGAAGGGCAATGAATAATTTGGGTAAGCTAATGGTGGCGCCCCCGTGAGGAGCGTCCGCAGATTTTTCAAAGCTCTGTTCTCTTCTTTACCCTATTGGAACCTCTGCCCCTTAGCTGTGTGTGTAGGGTTTTTTTTAAATGGCCGCAAAATCCTGTACAAAGCCTATAAAGCTTCTGACATCTGCTACGGATCCAGGGGTTGGCCATTCTCTAATACACCGTGTCTTCTTGGGAGCAGTTGCCACCCCTATTGCACTATGTGCCCCAGGTATCTGACGGAAGGCTGTTTGAAATGGCATTTAGAAGGCTTGAGTTTCAATTGTGCTCCGCTGATACGTGAGAAATACAGCCTCAGCCGGTGTAAGCGTTCTTGGAAAGAGCGTCTGAACCAAATTAAGTCATCCAAATACATCAGGCAAATGTCCCATTGGAGACCCGTTAGTACTAGTTCCATGAGAATGTGGCTGGGGCCATTTGTAATCCCATGGGGAGACAGTTAACATGAAATAACGCCTGCAGTGTTCCAAAGGCAGTCTTGTTTTTTGAATCCTCATCTAGCGGTAGCTGCCAAAACCCAGATTATAGGTCCAATGTAGAAAAGTATTTGGTGCCCACTAAGGCGTCCAAGGAATCGTCAATCCGCGGGAGCAGATAAGCATCCACCATTGTGACCTGATTCAGTCTATGGAAGTCGATGCAAAGCCGCACTGAACCGGCTGGTTTCTTTACCAGGACGACAGGGGCCCCTCATGGGCTCGTGGACGGCGCAGTCGCTGGGCTAGTTGCCATCTTGTCTTCCCGTAACCATTGCAGGAGTAGCATTACTGCCTCTTTGAATTGATGGACTCGGTCCGCCCAGGGCCTCCTTCTCTCGCGGGGTCGAGGCTTCTCAGACGAGTTACTCCTCGCTTTTCGCCATCCTGTCTGTAGACTGTGCTGTCTCTGGATCACAGCTGTCTGGGGCATTGGGAGTGGAGGCACGTTCTTCTCCCTCCTCGCTGGGGTCTTGGTCGGGGTCATTTTCCATTACCGCGTCGAGGCATCTTCGGGATTCCACCGCTGCCACCAGTTGTAATGAGTCCACCAGATGAAGATAAGGATGACACACACTTCTTTATTTTATGTGCCAGCTCAAGCCGCGCACGTCCACTCCACTCCAAATCCCTCCAGGAAGCACCTCGATGGCCCCACTTCATCCAGTGACGTCCCCACTCTCTGCCTGGGCGTTCCCTCTCTGTCTCTCTCGCCCCGTCTTCTCTTTCCTTTCCTTCATAACGTCATTTTAACTGTAATCTGGGATCCCGTGAGTATTTCTACCCCCGAATCACAGGGGTAGAAATATTTGCACTACAAATGCATGCGTGTGGTCATAATAAAACTATGGTATTAGCGACAGGAAAAAACATTTAAACGGATTTTAAGTGACAGTGTAAAGAGATTTAACAATATACCTGTCTGTATAGGACATTGTTAACCATGAATCCATTCAAACACATGCTGCTGTTTCCTGAGAGGGTATCCACCATGAAGATGGAGCAATGAAATAAGTTATTGTGCAGGTACTTTGTGGGGATTTTCAAATTATGGATCATGAAAGATGGTGCCAGCTTAGGAGAGCCTTCATTCATCAGTGAACCGATCGCATCTGATGATGATGATGCTGCCACCTCGTTTTAGGATGGAACATTCATGCTCTTCCTTCTTTCCTCACACAGCTTTGCTCAGTAATCCATTTTCTCTTCCAACCCCATGATTCAATGTAGGAAGATTATCACCTCTCAGGTCCACTACCCTTGCCGTGGTTCTCTCTGCCACTGCCACTGTGTGATACAGGCCCTGGGTATAGGAGTAGTGAATGTTATTTAAAACATTCCTTCGAGTGTGCCTCTGATATTTTCTGTTGCAATGTAGGTGCTGAGTCTCCGAACCAAACTGACCTTGTTAAAGTAAGTACTTGGAGTGTTGATCTCAAGGTGATGTTTTCCATCAAATTTGACTGTGACGCCAAAATCAGTCTCCAGGAGAACGTAGCTTCCGCTTATGCCGATCTTAACCCCTGGGACCAAATCTTCGATGGGGGTCTTAACTCGCTTATCGTCGACCTGTTAATAAAGAAAAATGAACCACGATGCATGATGTGTTTTACAACAGCTCTCATTTTACCGCATAATTACTTTGCACTACTAACTACATATCACAAAACACATTGTACGTTAATCATCTCTGCTCATTGCCTAAATCATAATGGGTTCATTATGATAAAAGGTAAAAACGGGCCTACCTTTACCCTACCTTTTACCTTACCACAATACAATCACTCTACCTTTGACCCATCAGCAGGTAAGGTAAAAGGTTAAAAGCAACGAGCCTACCTTTACCCTAGCTTTTACCCTTACCTCATACAAATTACCCGATTACAGGGTAATTACTGGGGTACTACTACACATGAACAAGGTTTATAACAGGTAAACGCTAGGTAGAGCACTTTATTCATATAGAATACTCTCCATGATTCCAATTTTACACGCTTTCTTTTAACTCACTGTCTGTTGTTGTCGTTGTTGTTGTTGTATCCTCAAATTTTAACCCACTTCCCAATGTGGTATCGACTGCGAACTTGGTATACTTATGTCATGCTGATGACAATACTATATTCTATCGTTAAAAATAGAAAATATATATTTTTAAACATTCTTTTTTATATGTTATGTTTCGGCTTGGGTCTAATTGTCCACTGTCAACTGACATTGGCTGTAATTGGCCACGGTTCCTTACGTTATGGCAAGCTTCGGGGTCACTTCCTGGAGTCGTGGAGTTCTGCCATTACTCGTGCGGTACATTTCATTAAAGCGTGTTTTTAAAAAAGTTTTAAAAATATCACTTATTAAATGGAGGCCACAGACTGCGCCACGGAGCTTTTAGCGTCAAACAAGGTACGGTATTTACCGGGTAATACTTTGCGCTACCTCTACGATACCGGGTAATTCTTCCGAGCTACCTTTACCCTACACTTTACCTTTCTCCTTGGCATGTCGACACCTTTACCCTTTACCTTTACCCTTTTACCCAGTAAAAAGGGTAAATTACCTTACCTTGCCGAGGCCTACGGCCAGCAATCAAATTGTGAGATGGGCACTCTGCCGCACCCACTCTGCCCATAATTATGAATATTCTGTTTCTCAACTGCGACTATACGGTCTCACGGTGCCCAATCCGTGCGTACCAGCACGCGGTGGCGCTTCTGCAGGGTGACGCGGTGGCCCGCGATGTCGACGATCACGTGCTTGAGGTAGGAGCCGGAAGCCTGCCCGTGCTCCTCGTTCTTTGCAGTGATGGTGAAGGGCGTCACGTTGGTGTCGGTGCACACGTCCACCAGCGTGTACGTGCATGTGCCCATGTAGCTGATCATTATCAAGTCAAAGGTGAAGTAGTGGGGATCTCCGGCAACGTGGCACGTGGCATAACCTGGGGCACAGAAACACAACCAGGCCCTTCTTACAGCAAGTAGCGGGTGCTACTGTTCTCTCCCTCACTCATAAGTATTCCGCACTCAAAAAGGCAGTTGCAAACGACTGAAACCCACAGACAATCATTTATGAAATTTAACTGGAGGTATGTCCAGTCACCAATGATCACATACAGACGTATTAATAAAAAATGCTGATGAAACTTACACATTTTTTATAACCCTGAAGGGAAACTTAAAGCAGATTTTTCTAAAGCAATAACAACTGTGAAACCATATGGTATTTCGAAGACAAAAGTAGTGTAATTGATACAGGAAGCGGCCATGACTGATGAAGCCAATTCGTGTTAAGCTAGATTATCTGTAATGTAAAGGTAAAAGAAGAGAGCAAGTTGGTTTGGATGAATGTCCCTGTTGGTGTATTGAGCCATGACCACTTAACCTGAGGTTTAAGTCCAAGTTGCCCATTTGAGACTAACTAAACTCCTGGTTCGACATCAATGGTAAGAGGATTGATGGTTTTAGCTTGGGCACTGATGAGATTGGATTAAAAAAAAATGATTGTTTATTCAATTTAAAAAAGAATGGGTATGTCTCCCCATATTCAAACACAGATTGGGTGATATCCATCTCTATTGGTTCAAAAGTAAAGTGAGCGGCTCACAATCGGAATGTTCCAAGTTCAAATCCTGGTTGTAAGTCAACTTAGCCCATCACTCCTCTGGGTTTGATAAAATGGTTGCCACTTTGTGGGAAAGTCGATTGTGGTTAAACTAACTAATTGAGCTTTGGACTAATATTCACAGGTGGCATGGGCACATGTGATAGGCCATCAAAGTGGCTTATACTATATGTGGGAATTTAAAGTAGCAGTCAATTAAACTAAACACATGTTGCTTCATGTAGAGGGAAGCACCGGAGAACCCGCAAAAACTCCACACGACCATGGGGAGAATATGCAAACTCCAAATATCGAAGCTATAAACTCCTGCATACCACCGTGGTGCTTCTATGGATAGACTCGTACCCACTACAAGAACATGGAATTTAGATCACCGGCGCAGAGCTCTAAACAGGAGATGAGCACTGCCTCAATGCTCGTTTGAGCAGGAAATAATTTTCATCTGCATTGGTGTTTACAATTCAGATGGAAGTTCCACGCTCCTGTGCCATGGATACATCTTTCCACAAGGCAGTAATAATTTTTGTAATTCTGAAGGGATGATGGGCTGGATTGCATTATAACTATGATTTTAACTCACTGTCTTCCAAATGAAACTATGGCGCTCTGCCACAGTGTCTGTGTTTGATCGTTCAATATTTGTGTCTTAGACAAAACACATACCCTTGCTGTGGCAGCCCAGAATGCCATCATCCACAGTGCAGACCTCTTGCCTTCCACAGTGCCAGGCATCGCAACTCGCGTATCCGGGCATCACGCATGTGCAGCGCCGGTCGCAGGTCTCCGATTCAAACCAGTTCTCCCCGAGCTGCAACCACACGATCGTGAAGGCAGTGACAAAGTCTTGAGAACGCCACATGAATCGAATAATTTTCATCATATTCCATTGTCATTGGTTGTTGAATTTTGTGTAATCAGATAACCACAAATAGTGGAATTTGTATTTTAGAAAAATGTTCATCAAATGCGAGCAGATAAACAGTGAATAAAGGCACAATATTTTAACACGTCGGCTTCTGCAATTAATAATATGATTCATAATTAATGTTGGGTTAGATCATGTATGTAAAAATGTGTTGTAAACCCTCCTCCACCCGACACAGCTAGTTAGTAAAGTTGATTAAGGTGGTTGTTACTTATAGTGAAACGTTAGGCAACCCATTAAATGGCATGTGGATTTATTTTCAACACACTGGTGTGCTAAAGCAGTAATAAACTGGCATGTTTGTTCATGTGACAACTTTTATAATTGGCTGTGTCGGGTGGAGGAGGGTTTACAACACACTATTTATGCAAACTGATCCAAAATTTAATAATAAAAGGCTTTGTGCACCCATTAATGCCGACTGGGAAGATACGGTGGGTTTACACGAGGGTGAAAGAATGAGTAGAACTCACCGGGTGGTAGTTTCCGTTGTTATCCAGGCAACCGCACTGCTCCGCCGGGACGCACTTGTCCCCAGAGAGGACGAAGCCGTCGTCACAGACACAGCCCTCCCCACAAAGATGGTTGCAGCCACCCGGGAGACTTGTGTTGCTGCAGGTGGCTGGACAGGGTGGTGCACAGCTCTCATAGTGGCTGCCCGGTTTGCAAGTGAGTGCTGTGGGTGCCACACACACACGATGATTTCTACTAAATAACAAAACCTCTACAAAACATCTGCAATATTAACATATTCATTTTGGTTGCATTTAAATGTGCATGTTTTATTCTATTTCATTTTAATGCCATGACAATGAAATATCCACAGATCTTTAAGGAATGCGCAGATTAAACTAATGATAACTTTTTTTCTTTCATCGCAACTGTGAAAGGAGCTGACATTTAAACCAATCGAGCTGTACCTTGCCCCTCTATTATTTATCATAGGGAAGTAAAGGTGCTGGATGTACGTGATGATTACGTATGGTGGGCACCTTAAACCCAATTCCATGATGACTGACACTCCTCTCGTGTCAGAGGCATGACACCTGCAGAACGGGAAGGCCCCATGCCTCACGTCCCTTCTGTATGTCTGCTCAGTGTGACAACACAACCATCACAAATTGATGGGTTGTCTCGAGACTGCACGCTTCAAGGGAATGTGGCGCCCGTGGAACCAATTACATGGCATACAAATGTTTTGGTTAATGTTTATCTATTTTTGTAGCTTGAAATAATGGAATACATCTGGCATGGCGCAAAGAGAGCGCAAACTCCTCTTGTCTATGAATTCTCCTCTACTGACTTGATTCGAAGCTTTCGTGACTGCAAGAATTACTCTTTGTTTTTTTCGGTAAAGTCACGTATAAATAAAAAATAATAAAATAACAATAGCGTACGACGTTTCGGTTGCAACACAAGCAGCCATCATTGTTAAATTGCTTAACTTGCAATTTAACAATCTTTGAAATAGCGTAATCAACCAGACTATGCGTTAATTGTGTTTTGACGGACCGTCTGTGTTGCTTTATATGGTTTCCAAATTTTGCTAAACCCTGATTGTTTGGTATGCTTCTCTCTCTGTTGTACCCTGTTGTAACTGTGTTAATTCCCCCCTACTTGGGTGTCTGTATATACATCTGGGGTTATGTGTTTCCTCTCTCTCGTAAATTTAGCTCTTCTGTACCTGATGATGGCTGCTTGTGTTGCAACCGAAACGTCGTACGCTATTGTTATTTTATTATTTTTTATTTATACGTGACTTTACCGAAAAAAACAAAGAGTAATTCTTGCAGTCACGAAAGCTTCGAATCAAGTCTGAACCACCTCTAAGGGAGGTATTAGGTCTGTGTCTTTGTGTTGTCTCTGCTTGTGCATCTGCCTTTGTGTCTTGGCTTGGATTTGTGTCTCTGTGCTGTCTCTGCCTGTGTGTGGGCCTTGGTGTTTCCGAGTGTGTGCTGCCGCGCCCCCTTTGCTCCATGCATACCTCATGCTAATTTGTCCCATTGTCTCTCAGCCTCACCTTCTCTGCCTATTTAAGGCGACTTCACTGTGTGCGTGTCTGTGCTGGTTCACTCTACTTGGATGTCTATGTGTGTGTGTGCGCGGTCTGTATTTTAAATTTCATACTTAACTTGCAATTTAACAATCTTTGAAATAGTGTAATCAACTAGACTATACATTAATTGTGTTTTGACCGACTGTCTGTGTTGCTTTATATGGTTTCCAAATTTTGCTAAACCCTGATTGTTTGGTATGCTTCTCTCTCTGTTGTACTCTGTTGTATCTGTGTTAGTTCCCCCCTACTTGGGTGTCTGTATATACATCTGGGGTTATGTGTTTCCTCTCTCTCGTAAATTTAGCTCTTATGTACCTGATGATGGCTGCTTGTGTTGCAACCGAAACGTCGTACGCTATTGTTATTTTATTATTTTTTTATTTATACGTGACTTTACTGAAAAAAACAAAGAGGAGTTCTCCTCTACTGTTTACACTACGAACATCAAAATACGTATACATGTCGGTAACTTTGCTAAGTTGAGAATGGTGATGCGGCCCAACAGAAATAATTTGCAACTGATTATAACGGTAGAATAAGCTGTGCCACATGTGTGATAACTCACCTCTGGGAGTGGCATCTCAGTTCTACCACTTTGGCTTTAGATTTTTTTTAACATGGACACGACATATAGGGTATCCATTAATTCTTACTCAACAATCCTGTTCTGATGGGAACAAAGCACAGGATTATAACATGTGGCGGTGACATCACAGCGGGCGCTGCACTCACGGCAGAAGGTGTTGTTCCTCCACGTGACGATGACCCCAGCTTGGGCACACTGGTCGGCGTAGGCCTGCAGGGCCTGGCACAGCGACAGGGGGTTGCCGCCCGTGGCACACAGGTCGAACACGCAGTTGTCGAAGAAGACTTGTGGAGGCAGCACCGCGTGGCACTCTTTGAAAGCTCCTGGTCACATTAATGTCAGGAAAGTTGCGTCGGGTGAATGCAGCTTTGTTATTTTAAACTTTGCAGGCATTTGCCTAGCCTCACTTGCATAAGGAGGGATTTGGGCTTTTGTATGGTTCCATTTCCGAATACAGTAGTAATTAAACCATACCAACCTCCCCTTTTGTTAACCTCTAGTTCTTCACAAGTCTAATAATAATTACAAATCAACGAGACTGATTAACATTTCAACACGCGCTGGACACATCTAGCTATCCATACCATCACACTGAACAGTTTACCTTTGATGACAGCTCTTTTAGTCCTAACACTATGATGAAAAAATAAAGGCTTCAACGTTTTCAGCAATAATACAGGTGTTCATACACCAAATGTACACCTATTGCAACGTATTAATTCTGCATTAACCATACATGCTTGTGGTCAAACATGCAAACAAAGTGATTGGCCAATTATTGAATGTAGAGTTATCGCTGCCTCTACCTTGCTGTTGTCAAAGTAGATCTGCTTTCTCATGCCATGCATCAAACCTGCTGTACTACCTGTATGGTCGATGATGTTCTATAAATACAAAATAATCTAGTCGCATTCACTTAACTATTTTATAAACGAGGCCTTGAAAACAATGTAAAAGAATTGCACTATTTGGAGAGTAATACTGCACGTGTGTGGTTGTAGTAGAGGCAAAGTGGTTTGTGCACTGGACTATGCACTCAGCGATTCGAGTTCGATTCCCGGCAATGGCTAAACACAGGTGGAGAGTGACATATCAATTGTCTCTGGCCACCCGCTACTCAAACGTTCACCAGTCCACGCTGACCAGCATGGTGAAATACGATTTAAAAAACCATGACTGACATAACGAGGGGAGGCTTTAATTCAGTAGTGAATTAACAAGCACGAGTAGGTTATTTCGTCATTATGTTGTGTAATACTGTATAATGTGAATAATGAAAGTGGTTACACAATAATGTGCATTAAAGTACCCAGATGCTGAGAATTGACATTACCATTGGGGTCGGTGATTAAGCCACAGAATCCTTCCTTTTCAAACTCCTCCTGTGTCGCTGGATCACACTCGGGTCTTCCCCCATCGTCATCTTTGCATCTGCCAAAACAAACATCAAGGAATACCGGCATATCACTGTCCTATGAAAAACAATACTTCAATATTAAGTTATGGTACCAGTAATAATAATCTGCTTGTGATAATGATATTTAATAATTTCAAGATTGTTTTTCAAATGAGCGAAAGTGTGCAAATGTCATAGCAGGAACCCCCCCCCTCCCCCGCCTGCCACAATTCACAGCCCTTTGGCAATCCACTGTTGGATGAAGGCATCTCCACACCGTATTGGTATGGTAATGGGGGTCGTTTGAGGACCATGCTTCACCACACAAGTCATTGTGGGTTGGTGAAAGGGGACCCAAGACCGGTTTAGACATCAGCTGTGACTGGTGTCAGCCGTGGCCGGGAATCACACTCAGGTCGCTGGGCTCAGTGCATGGGCAAATAATACTTTCCAAACACACACAATAGCTGCTTATGAGTAGAAGTTTGTTTTCTGAATGTAGTGAGAATGTATGATTTTTCAAGGGATTGATGGGTAAAATCCGTTGTAAGGTAAACAGATAATATTAAAATGTTAACTGGAAAATCCATTCAGATGGAACATACCCTTGCAAGAGTTCCCAGGGTAAAGTTTTCGTGACTGCAGGAATTCATATTTTTGGGTCTTTCGGTAAAATCATGTAGATAGGTTCCAAGAAAATAAAAAAATAACAAAAAACTACGACGTTTCGGTCACAACACAAGCAATCATCTCAGACGAAGGTAATTTACTTTGCAAGCCCACTGGCTATCAACAAAGATTAGTTCATGAAGCCATCCATATATATAGACACAGACACAATTTCAACCAAGAAGATTGGTACAAACTGAGCAATCATTGGAAGGACGTTATTAACCAGTTTAAGTCATAACTGGCTGTGATGTTTCCATCCTACCTTCTGATGTTAGTAGTTATTTTCGACTCTCTGGTTTTACATTAACAGGTTAAATGTCTCACACTAACACAGCCAATCGCTCGTGTCCTCGATGTGGCGGTGGCTCTGAGATCTTACATTGACATGCTACTCTCTCACAATACAATGGCCACCTCCGCAGCTTCGTCGTCGTGGAGGTAGCTCTCCGACCTTACATTTACATGCAAATTTCTCACTTTAACATCACTAGCCCTGCCCACTTCGTTTATGACCCTTGGGCTACACCCATTTCAAACCTTTAAAACAGCCTGCCTCAGCAGCTTTCCCGCTCGTTTTTCTCCTGATGACGATTGCTTGTGTTGCGATCGAAAAGTCGTAGTTTTTTTGTTATTTTCTTTGAAAACCTATCAACGAGACTTTGCCGAAAGACCCAAGAATATGAAACAGTAAGCTATCACACAAAATCAAGACCAAAAGAACGATTAACAAAGAATTGGGCCCACATGAGTACATTACGCTCAGCTACAGCAAGAGATCAGTGCCAGGGTGACTGCGGGGCTACTCACTCATCCAAGCTGTTCACCGACTGCCAGCTGTTTCCCAGTTCTGCCGAGGAGGCTGCCACTGAGCCGTCTGGTTTCAGATTGTCATCTGAGCCATCGCCATTAAAGTTTCCTGCAAGGTAACAACATGAAAGTAAGTTTCAACTCTGGCTGTGCCTTGCGCTTGTGTGCAAGAAATCTCAATGCACGACTAAATTGAGCACTTAAATAAAGGAAGGCTTAAAAATGAAAAAACTATAAATGACAATTCTAGTTTTGAAGCTTTCGTGACTGCAAGGATCACGTACGTGACTTTACCGAATAGAACCAAAGAGTATAAATGACAATTCACACTGGGTAAACCACTGCATTTGTTGCAAAACCGTGACTCGAGGTCAGCATTGCAACAAGTGCAGTGTGACGTTTAGTCACAATCGTGCTCAGAAGTATTTGCAGATGCCAACTTATATAATATCCACTTGGTCCATGTGCATACAATACAATGGAACTAAAGCATAATTAAAATGTATTCATGCATAGACTTATTTAAAATACCAGTTTTCTTTTGCATATCAATAGGTTTTCACTAGGTTTTATACATTGTTGGCTGGGATGTAGATGTGCTCATACAACCTATCCACAGATATGAACATTATTTAATTTGCATGTAATTTACATTCATAATTTGCAAAATACAGCAAATATAATTAAATATCTTTGCCCATCTCTGCCTACCCCCACATCTATTCCCCAACAGCCGAGTAACGGGTTGGTCATATATATACTTTAGATTACTCGTGAACCAAAATCTGACTGGCTGGTGATTTGCTATTAATTTGTGTTTGGCTACAATTTCCTTTGAGAGTCACATTTAGGTCTCAACTCTACGTCCACAAAATCCATGGTTGAGAGACCATGTTGGCAAGCTCATGACCTTGATGTGCATCTGCCTTGCATGTATGTATGTATGTGTAATAAACGACTTCCACGACAGTTGTTGACTAGTGTCTTTTCTTTATTTGTAGAATCTCTGCACGACTCAGCGCTCTCCCTCCGGATAATTTTCCTCTTTCTCTCTACTGCCGTTGATGAGCTGCTCTCTGTCCGCCATCCAGCACGCCTCCTCTCTCTCCGCTCGCGTCGCTGGCTTGCGGCACACCGGGAAGAGAGGCTGCTTCGCTGGGAGTTGCCACATGGTCGCCGGCGAAGAGAGGTTGAGCGGTGATGCAGTCTTGACCAAGGCTTCCTACACCGACCTCGAGTCCTCCTCTGCCTCCCCTTATATCCCTCTAGGCGGAGCAAGCTCTGCTCTCAGCCACGCCCCCTCGTGGAACCCTCTCGATGGTTCCCGTGTATTCTCTGTAGCTCCGCCCGTTACCTTTGGCCCTGCTTCAGATTGGATACTGGTTATCCAGCGGTGGCCATGCAGATATCCCTTGTTACCCCTCAGGTGGCGCTCTCTCTCATTACATCACCCCCCCCCCCCCCATGATAAAAAGACTAGCCGTCCCAGTTAAGAATAAATTTGGTATGAGTAATGGTGAGACGCTATTTAAAACCCCGTGGTAATGGACATAGGTGCATAACCAACAAGCATGCACACAAGAACGACGTGAATGTTAAGAGCAAGAAGTCAAAGGCGAATCCCCAACACGGGAGAGGATAAAAAAAATGGCAACATTAACACAATCGAGGTGTTTCAGAACGGGTCCACAATGCCAGATCATCCATGGCAGCCGTGTCCAGCTCCTGCAACCGCACCACGTCCGGCTCATCGGTCACGCCAGACCCCGGCAACCCAATATTTGGGGATGACGAAGCAACACGTGGAGGAATGAAAGGTTTCAAAAGAGACGGGTGGACGAACCAACGATGTCGACCCGCCCGAATGCGTACACACGGTGGACGCTTAACCTCAACCACTTCAACAGGACCATGCCATGGCTTGTGCAGTTTAGGAGAGGTGCCAACAGCCACCTGAGGGCAATGCAGCCAGGCCCGGTCGCCGACGGCCCATGACATGTCGCGGCCGGACCTGCGTGCACAGCGCTCATTACGCGCCTGCGTTCTTGCCGTGTTAACCCTAGCCGCCTTCCGCGCCTCAGAAATCCGGCGCGAGGAGTCTCGCACATGGTCAGGCAGGGTCAGTTTAGCGCTCCCAACAGGCGTTCCCAATTGAATGTCAATAGGCGGCACGTTTTCCCTTCCGTACATAAGGAAAAATGGAGAAAATCCCGTGGAAGCGTACGGAGCCATTCTATAAGCGGCAAGCATGCTCGGCATGTGCAAATCCCAATCGGCCTGTTTGGCATTGACAGTCTGACAGAGCATGGCGGTCAAAGTTCAATTCAGATGCTCAACCATCCCATCAGTCTGAGGGTGGTACGGCGACGTCCTGATTTTCTTGGTGCCCAAAGTGACACAAACATCGCGTAGCAATTTACAAGATAAATTTCGACCCTGGTTCGTAAGCAATCGTTCCGGGGCGCCCTTGTCCATAACATAGCCATTTAAAAATGCATCAGCGATGGAGGACGCCGATTGGTCAGGTAAAGGCCAAGCCATTGGCCACCGAGAGAAATATTCCACACCCACCAAAAGGTATTGGTTACCCCTGGGAGTGATCGGGAAACGGCCCAGGACGTCGAGTGCCACCAACTCATTGATGCGCGTGAAGGAAATAGATTGCAGCGACAAATGGCACCTCAGGTGTGGCAGTTTCCGCCGAGTGCACTCATGGCAGGAACGAATAAGTTGAGTGACACTAGCTGTCATACCGGGCCGATAATAATCCCGTTGCAACGTCAGTAAGGATTTCTGAACACCAAGGTGCAACAGCTTTTCACCGTACAACACGCGAACAAAGTCATCATGGACAGCAAGGGGAACCACAATGCGCTATTGATCCACTATATCATCCCTCCACATCAAAAGGCCATCCAGAAAAAACAATCGACCACCTTCCACTGACACAGAAAACTCATGCGC